GGACGCACTTGGGGGATGGAGTTCCTCTCCCAAGACCTAGAGCTGGCGAGTGGCCAGGTTGGAATTTGAGCCCCGATCTGTATATTTCCGTAGCTCAGGCCCTTCCTCCCCTTTCTACTTCCTGCCAGGTCCAGCTGGCCAGCACTTCCGCCTGCCCCAGCATATGCTTTCTCCAGGCCGCCCTGGCCTCTGCAGCCTGGATGTGCTTGTTCGAGGTCTGGTTTCCGTAGTGCCTGCCACACTGAATCTCAGCTTCCGCCTGCCATGCTTCATCAAAATACATGCTGTTAACCTCTGCTTATGTTACAAATAGCTGATTTTTATCTGACACTGTTGACTGCCTGTTAATACACAGGTGGCTGCACAGCCTCTACACGCAAGGTGTTCATAGGACAGGGCGGCTGACAGGAAGCTAGCAGTTCCCATAGAGGAGGTGCCATGGGTGTGGCTGAAGTGACCGCCATGAAGCAAGGAGTGAGGATACTCCAGCGGGAGAAGCTACAGGCCCAGCACACACCGCTGGTGGCATAGTTGGGCGGGGCACTAGGCAGCAGGGCCTCGGGATATTGAGCAGAGTGGGCGAGGAAGCAGACTCCTAAACTGATGGGCTGCCTGTCGTGAGGTAGGCGTGGACATGCCTGAGTTGCTCCCCACACATACCGCCATTCGTGTGGCTTGGAGAGGTGGCAGGAGGAGAGGGGAGAATGGGATCTGGAGACAGGCTTGTGCAGGGGGGACCATCACAGGTTCAGGGAGAGATGGGGTGAGGATTTGAACTTTAGGGAATGGAGGTCAGAATTGGGAACTGAAGAGGGGGTTCCCAGGTTTCTGGTCTGGGCGATTCTAATTGCAGGGTGCTTTCTTGGTGTGTCATTGCCTTCTGCTCCGGCAGGATCTAGAGTAAGGGCCTCCTCCTGTCCCCGTGTGATGGATCTGGTCCTCCCTCAGCAGGGTCTGGTTTAAACCAGATACCAGTGGAACCTTGACTGGGCAGACAGGTACAGCTGTGGTAACCAGGAGGAAGCTAGACCGAGGGAGCTTGTGGAGCCCAGGTTGCAGCAGGAGGCTGTGTGCTCTTAGCTGGTGTCAGTCCTCCATTTTAAAAAAATATATATTTTATTGATTTTTTACAGAGAGGAAGGGAGAGGGATAGAGAGTTAGAAACATCTATCAGCTGCCTCCTGCACACTCCCTACTGGGGATGTGCCCGCAACCAAGGTACATGTCCTTGACCAGAATCGAACCTGGGCCCTTCAGTCTGCAGGCTGGCACTCTATCCACTGAAACAAACTGGTTAGGGCAGTCCTCCATTCATTTTACTTTTTGTTGTTGTTGTTAATCCTAACCCAAGGATATTTTTACCAATGATTTTTTTAAAGGGAGTGGAAAGGAGGGGGAGAGAGAGAGAGAAACATAGATGTGAAAGAGACACATCGATTGGTTGCTCCTGCATGCGGTCAGAGTGCATGATCAAGCCTGCAGCCGAGATACATGCCCTTGACTGAAATCAAACCCACGACCCTTCAGTCTGAGGACTGACCCTCTATTCATTGAGCCATATCGGCTAGAGCAGTGGTTCCCAACCTTCTGGCCCTTTAAATACAGTTCCTCATGTTGTGACCCAACAATAAAATTATTTTTGTTGCTACTTCATAACTGTAATGTCGTTACTGTTATGAATCGTCATGTAAATATCTGATGTGCAGGATGGTCTTAGGCGACCCCTGTGAAAGGGTCGTTGGACCGCCAAAGGGGTCGCGACCCACAGGTTGAGAACCGCTGGGCTAGAGAGAGTCCTCCATTCATTTTAGAGGGCTGGTTAGGCCCAGGCAGCAGCAACCAGACAGAGCCCTTCTGTTACGGTGCTAATGCCTCCCTGGCAGCCTTAGGTTTGGTGGTGGCTGCTTTGGTATTGGAACGTGACAGGACAGCCATTTAGGGTCTGTCCTTGTGAACTGACACCGGTTTTGCTCCCTGACTTACCCCAGCTGGGTGGCATAGATCTGGGGCTTGCTTGTGTGGGGCAGACCTCACCTTGACCTGTTGGTTCTTTTCAGTCGAGTTCCTGAGGCTGAACCTCTACTCCGCTCCATGTTTGGGGCCATGTCCTTGTTGTATGGTAGTTTACCTTCGTTTAGAGACGGTCACTGGAAGGGCTTTGTTTTTTGGAGGTGGAGACTGTGGAGTGGCCGGTCAGGCCCAGCTACTCCGTCAGGCCTCTGGGACAGCAGCAAAGCAGAGACTGGGGAGGCTGAAGGGGTTTCCAGCAAGCAGCCGGTTCTGCCCCTGTGCAGGGCTCCTCCCAGCATGGAACTGGGTCCCAGTGACCGCCTCGTACAGTGGACACGTTAGGTCCTGAGTGCAGTGGAGGGACCCCACACCTAAGTACAGCTATGAAATGTGGTGAGACATGCAGTTAAAACCCACATAATGGACAGGTGCCTCAGACACAATGTTTAGGTGACTGAATAGGAAAGGACAGGCCGTCTCCTTGGGGGGAAATGGAAGATATTAACAGAGTATAACCGCCTGGTTTATTTTTTCCCTTATCTTCGGTGTTATGGAGCATGATCAGCAGGCTAGAAATAGGAGCAAACACATTTTTTAAATTATGGTTTGCATAACTGAAAACAGTGCTCAGGGCACCTGTTTATTCTTCAGCCACCAAACACACTCAGCCTGTTTGGGCAGGCTCTGTGTGTAACAGTGGAGGGGACAAGTATATGACACGGGCATGGTGCTGCCTCGCAGGGCCCTGGTGCCGGCCAAGGAGCAGCCTTTCTCCTCAACTCCGTACTGACGCAGCCGCTTTCATGGTTCATGGGCAGAACTGGACATTTATCCAGTTTCATTTCCTGTTGTGAAGATGTGTGTTCCAGCTTGTCAAGATATGCCTGTTTCTGGCCTCCCATATTGTCAGTGTTCCTCAGTCTCTAAGTCACGGACAGCCGGTGCCCATGCTGTCCATGTCATCTGTGATGTTGCCCTAACCAAGACAGGATAGGGCTCCTCTAGAAGATCCCCTGGCATCTGGTGCCTTTGGACCTGGAGAGGTTCCCCCACCTAAAGGCTACTACAGTAAGCTGGCATCCGTGTCTTATTTCTGTGGATGTGCCAGGTTCTTTGCTGCAGTTAAGATGCACAGTGTCGGTGGGGCCTGTGAGTCTGCTGACCCTATAAAAGATGGCCAGCCAGCGATTCAGGAGGACAGCTTTTAGCCAGCCAGGAGCCTGGCTAAGCCCTTGGGGATAGCTGCTTTTGGGCACTGAGCCCATTTGTGTAACCAGTCCCATCTTCAGAGACCTCAGCACCCCTCTCTGCGCTTACGTCGTGGCTCCTGCCTTCACTTTCTACCCAAAGCCTCCCCATTCCGTACCCAGTCAGCTGACCAGCAAATGCCCCTTTGCTGTGTCCACTGCTCTGCTCTGGGTCACCTTGTTAGATCCAAACTCTGTGGCAGGGCTTGCCACACACTGTTGTCGGAAGGTGGCAAGGGTAACACGTTCTGTCCTGGGGGGTGCAGGTGAGGCGCCCTTCTGAAGACAGGTCTCCAGTCACTTCTCTTGTTGGAAATGCTCAGTGACTTAGAGCCTCATGCCAGGTGACATCTCAGCATGTGGGTGCCGTGTCCTCCTGGCCTGCCAGCCTCACTTCCCTATGAGTTGGATCTTGTGTTGTCCTCATGCATTATTTTTCTCACCCTTTTCTTGTGGTCCTGGTCTTATATTCCCTGTGGGTGCATCTGCTCCACCTTGGGTGCTTTGCCGGCAGGAACCTTTTGCTGCCTCTTATGCAAGCTTAATGAAGCAGATGGGGCCCAGACCCCAGACTCTCACGTGTTGAATAAATTATCCAGTGGTATGGTTGATCAGCGTCATTTTATCTTTCTTTATGCATTAATACAGACTTGTCCCTCTCTTAGCATTTAGCCTCTTTTCTGGGATTTCTTTAAGGAGCATAAATCTGATTCTGCAGCCCCATGTGCACTCTTTCAGTAGCCTGGGGTTTCTTTGTTTGGAATGGTCAGAAAGCTTCCTTGCACCAGCTGGACTGGGCTTGTTTAATACACTTGGGTGAGGCAGCAGAGCCCTGACATGTTTGTTCATTTGTTTATCAGTTGGTCCAGTGCTGGGGAGACCTCTCCTGCAGGGAAGAAGGCAGTTTGTGAGCAGAGGGGCCAGGCCTCAGAACTCAAGCCTGACATGCCCCTTCCTTTCTAACAAATGCGTGTGTGTGTGTGTGTGTGTGTGTGTGTGTGTATGCGTGTGAATGTTTCCATCCAAAGGGAGCGTAAGCTTAGCTAATGTTCATAGCTCTGTCCCAGCAGAGTATCGGCATGATAAAAATGTGTGATAGGATCTCATCTTTTATTATATGTATTGGCATATGTGCTTTTAAGATGTTTTCCTCGTGTGTGTGGTCTCTTTCTATCCTCAGCTAGAAGCTGTTGGAAGTTGGGGCTTATCTCCTGGGTCCCACCTGGGGAACCTGCACATCTCACATAGGGACCTTTGCCTTGGGAGGGACTGAAAGATGGTTTGTTGTGGCCCCTTTGTTTTACAGAGGAGAGTGGAGCTGGGATCCCACAAATCTTAATGCCAGAGTTAGGTGGGGACCCAGGCCATTCAGAAGGCAGGAAGTAGAGTCTGACTGGCCACTCGGCCTTCCCATGTCACTTTATTTTGTGCTGATTGTGAGTGTCGCCCAGGGCCTGGCCCCTCTGCTCCCTCCTTCCAGGGGTGCCTATTTTGCTTTGTGGTGACCACCTTTCCTGTTCTTTCCTTCTTATGCCCCTGCCCTCTTACTCCCTTTCTCAGCTGCCTTTCATTGCTCTGCTGAGCACACCTCCCTTGTTGCCTTTCCTGGACCTCAGTGAGGCTGGTGTGCTGGGGGACAGGTCCCATCCACTCAGGGGCAGTTGCTGTGCAGGACTTCTGGCCAGGAACCCTGTAGCAGGAGACTCATAGGATGTCAACATCTCTTCTTTTTTTGTCTTTCAGCGAGGATGCCATGAGAAAAGCTGGTGTGGCCCACAGTAAATCCAGCAAGGATATGGAAAGCCATGTATTCCTGAAGGCCAAGACCCGGGTAAGGCCCAAGTGGGCGGAGAGGCTCAGGAAGGGGTGGGTGTGATGCAGACTCTGGAAGCTCCTCTGCCTGGGGAGTGGAAAAGGGGTGGCTGCTCACCGATTGATCATGGGCACTATCAGCTTTGCCTGCAGCTCTCTGTGGGTCTTCCCATGTGTCTATGGTATAGGTACAGGGAGGTTACTGGGTGGACTCCCAGTATGCAGTCCCAGAGTCTGACCCTAGACCTCACTACCAGCATCCTCCATTTGTGGTTAGCACCTATGAATCCTGTAGGGCATTCACTCAGGCCCAAGCTTCTCAGTGTCAGCCCTTGCCTAAGCCCCACATGGTCCTGACATGTGGGCCCAGAAGAGTTTCTGTCCCCTTTTGTTAAGTGATGAAGGTGGTGCTAGTGGAGATTGAGGCCTTGCTCGAGGAACCAGGCATAGGAATATTACTGGTGGGGTAGTTGGGGAGGATTTCCAGTGTGTGAGCTCTCATCCTGGGCTTCATGTGACTACCTCCTTCCATATGTGCACTCTCCCTGGGGCAGAGCTGTTTCAGTAAAAATGAAGCAAATAGGAACAAAGAAGCCAAGCTGCTTGTCTAATTCCACCCAGTTTGTGCAAGGTGGGGCTGATGCCCAGGGCTTTTGTTCTGCATCACACCTGCCCTGTTCTCCTTATAGAACCTGACCTCCAGTCCCTCCTCTGACGCATCGGGTGTGCTCTGAGCGCCTTGTGCCTGAGTGCGGTGTTGGGGCTCTAAGACATGCTGTGTGTCACAAATTAAAAGCAGATGATACGGCCCTTGAGTGGATACTGGTTTGATAAACCAACTGTCAAGACACCTAGAGCTCAATTGGGGAAATTTGAGCATGGTCTGAATGTTTAGATGAGGTGAACATTTTGTGAAATGGAAAGGTAAAGATGACTGGCTAGAAAAGGCAGGTTCCAGAACAAACACCATCTATATAGTTTGGTCTTAAAGGTCAGAGCACATGAGTGTGTGTTTGCGAGCACACATAAGTGCAAGAAAGAGCTCTTGAGGCAGGGAAGGGAGGGTTCTGTGCCCTGGGTATTTGAAAAAGCATTTTCTTTGTTTTTTTATAATAACTTTATTGAGATCTTTATATACTATACAGTTTACCATTTAAAGTGTACAATTCAGTGATCTTTAGGATATTCACAGAGTTGTTGCACCATCACCAGGACCTAAGTTTTATAACATTTTCTAAAAGAAACTCCATTTCCATTCTGTTACTCTCCGTTTGCCCTTGATCTTCAGTCCTAGGCAACCACTTTCTGCTTACCATTGCATGGATTTGCCTTTTTTCATGTAAATGCAATTATATATGTTTTTGTGACTGACTTCTTTCATTAGCATAATATTTTCAAGGTTCATCCATCAACCATGTTGTAGCATGTACTTACTCCTTTTAATTGCCAAATAGTATTTCACTGTATGGATATGCCACATTTTATGTACTCATCACTTGATAGACATTGTTTTCACCTTTTGGCTATTATAAATAATGCTGCTATGAACATTTGTGTACAAATTATTTATTTATTTATTTTGGATATATATACCTAGGAGTGGAATTGCTGGATCATGTGATAATTATGTTTAACCTTTTGAGAAATTGTCAGACTGTTTTCCAAAGCAGCTGCGTCGTTTTTCATTTACATCAACAGTGTATGCAGTTCCGATTTCTTCACTCCTCATCAACACTTGTTATTGGTTTTGATTTGCATTTCCCTGGTGACTAATGATTTGGGGCATCTACTCATGTAGTATTGGCCATTTGTATATTTTCTTTGGAGAAATGTCTATTCAATCTATTACCCATTTTCATAGATGGACACTCATCCACTGAGCCACACAGGCCAGTTCCTTTGCCCATTTTAAATAGGTTTCTTGGTCTTTTTATTGTTAGACTGTTAGAGATCTTTATGTATTTTGGATACAGTCTCTTATTAGATGTATAATTTGCAAATATTTGGGGGATGGGGTGTTTTAATTGTTTTTAATTTGTATTATAATTAAAAGAGCTTTGTTGAGGACTTATTGAACTATTTCAGATTTTGAAATGCAGAAGTTGCTGGTTCAGTATTTTTTATCTATCGTTTCATACCGAACTACCCCAAATTGGTGGCCTCCTAAACAGTGAGTTATTTCTCCTGATTCTGTGCGTCAGGAATTGGGGCAATTGGAATTGCCTGTCTGGCATTCTGCTGCTCTCACGTGTGACCTGTCATGTAGCTGCATTAGCTGGCAGCTTTGCTGAGCCAGATGGTCCATAAGGCTTCACTCGCGTGTCTGCACGTTGGTTTTCCCTCCATGTAGTGTCTCTGGCGGCGTAGCCTGGGCTTCTTACTGCATGGCAGCTGGCTTCCATGAAGTAGGAAGTGGAAGCTGCCTGTCCCTGGAAGTCCTGGGACATTACGTAGATAGAGCAGGCCCTGACTAAGGCCAGTGCAGGTTCAGGGAGTTGGAATTTCCTCCACCTTTTGATGCGAGCCGCAGCGTGTGTGTGTACAGGAAGGCCAGTGATTGTCGGCAGCCCTCTTGGAGACTACCACAGAGACTCACAGCAGCTGGGGGATAAGCTTCTGTCCCAAAGTGGGCATCTGGCAGGCAGCAGCCCCTCACTGCCTTAGGCTTTGCCTTTCTGCAGCCCACATACCAGACCTTAACAGTTTCAGTCCCACATCTTCTTGCTTTGAGCGGGTTCTAAATCCCTAACTCTAAGACAAGGCCCTGTTTGGAAGAGAGATATTTATTAGAGGTGTTAGAAATTTCCTGTCTTTTTTACAGAGTCACATACTGTTGTCTGGTTCCCAGTTTTTTACTACAGCTTAAGTTCCTCATGGAACCACATACTGTCAGTGTGGCCCTTCCTCACAAGTGGGAATTGGGGGTGGGGTGGAGGAAGACTGTCTAGGTCAGATGGCACCCAGCATGTTTGATACCTGTCTCTCTCACCTGAGACCCCATTAGAATGACTGTGAAAGAATTTAAAAGGTGGGAGGGACCTCAGAGGAGGGAAAAGGTTGGGGAAGAGTGATTTCTCCATTTTTCTGGAGTGGGAGGTGGAAGAGGCCAAAGTGGAGGGGTGACCCAACCTTGGCACCCTGGGGCAGTCCTGGAGAGGTTGGTGCCTTGTGGTAGAAGGCACCATGACTCATCCTGGATGGGGGTTGGGAATTCTCACCCCTGGGAGGCTGGTCAGGATGTCAGTGCTCTGCAGATAGAGATTTAGGGATTGGAGATACGACAGCCCCAGCCTCGGAGAGATCGGAGGTGGAGTTTCAGACCCCGGGTCTCCTGTGGAAAAGAATGCTCGCAGCAGACCTGCAGCAAACCCCAGTGGTTCCTCAGTAACCTGGCCTTTGCGAGAATTTTGGAATGTGTTTAACCCGTAAGAAAGCCCTTGGCAGCAGCGTGACTTAACTGTGCCCTGTGCCCGTTTCTCCTGCCAAGTGGTCACATCCCTTCCTCTCTCCCTCTCCGGCCTCTTCACCCTGGTCTAGTCTAGAGTCTCCCTCCACCATGGAGGAGCCTCAGCCAGGAGCAGACCATGCCGGTGCCCCTGCTCTGGGCCAGGGAATGGTGCTGGGAATGCTGTGTGCTGGAATCTGCCCACCTGGCTCCGAGCCCTTGGTCGTGTGAAGGGCTTTGGGGACATGCTCCTGAGCCCCACTTACTGTATATTATGTCTTAATAAAAGACTCTGGGTGCTTTTTTTTTTTTAATCCTCACCCAAGGATATGTTTATTGATCTTAGAGGGGAAGAGGGGAGGAGAGAGAATAGAAACATTGATGTGAGAGAGAAATATCAATGTGCCCTCACTGGGCATCAAACCCTCAACCTAGGTATGTGCTCTGACCAGGAATGGAGACCGCAACCTTTTTAAAGATATTGCTCACCTTGCCTGGCCAGTGTGGCTCAGTGGTGAGCATTGATGTATGAGCCAGGATGTCACGGTTCCATTCCTGGTCAGGGCACATGCCTGGGTTGCAGGCTTGGCCCCAGTAGGGAGCTTGCAGGAAGCAGCCGATCAATGATTCTCTCGCATCATTGATGTTTCTCTCTCCCTCTCACTTCCTCTAAAATCAATAAAAATATTTTTAAAAACTTTAAAAAGAAAGATATCACCCCCCCTTGCCCTGGCTGGTTTTTCTCAGTGGTTAGAGCATTGGCCCGTGGACAGAGGGGTCTCAGGTTCGATTTCCAGTAAGGGTTCGTACCTGGTTGCAGGTTCAATCCCCAGGCCCCGTTGGGGTATTTGTGGAGGCAACCAACCAGTCAAGATGTGTTTCTCTCATGTCAATGTTTTTTTTCTCTCTCTCTCCCTCCCTCCTCCTTCCCTTCCATTCTCTCTAAAAATCAATGGACACAATATCCTCGGGTAAGGATTAAAAAACACACAAGGACATTGCCCATCTAAAAGATGGCCCAAGGTCCTAACGAGTCATCAGATAGTGACCTGGCAAGCTCCCAGTCCTAGTCCTCTCCTACTTGGCCACCTTGTTTCCTGAGCTTCCTGTAGCCCCTTCCACACACACATCTTCACTGTTGGCCACGCCCCAAACTGCCCCCCTTCAAGGAGCAGCCTCAGTAGGTGGGCCACATGCAGGAGCCCTGACACCAGGGACCCCTTCACTCCCAGCACATGGTCTTTCCTACCAGAAATCGGTGGGGCAGTGGGAAGCTGGTAGTGTTGACAACCTCCTAAGTGCCCATTGCGCCAATAGAGACTCTCTCCGGACCTGCCTCCTTGGGTGTGCTTAGGACCACAGCTTTGCTTTCCTCCCGCGCCTTCCCCCTCGTAGTTTCCTCTGTTGATTTCCCCTGGCTGAAAAAAGTGATGGGGTGAAGTTTGGAGGTAGATGAAGGATAATAAAGATTTACAAAGTGTGCTTATAGTTTTACATTCACCTTGGGACCACTTTCATTTTATTTCCTTTTCCCTGGAAATAGTCTTATGACAGGTTCACTGTCTGTCCCTGGGCTCACAGGTGTGTGTCCCGGGGCAGTACCACCACAGCGCTATGTCTGGTTCTAATTATCATCTCGCCAGTCTGCTGCCAAGTGGACGCTCACTCTCGGTGACTTAGGAGAGGAGGGTCATGTGAGCACCACAGGGCGTGGTGAAAGGCTTTGCCCTTTTGGGGCGCCTTGATGGAAGGATGGGCATTTTGAGAAGGGAAGGATGTACAGCTTCTGTGAGATAAGATTTTAACTCAGGCGTCCCCCTTGTTCACTACAGGACAAACTCACATTAGTGATATCCGTGGAACACCCGGTAGTGTGTCCTTGGTTGCAAAGAGTACAATTGGTGGAAGGCAGGCCCTGCTGAGCAGTTCCAGAAACACGCAGGGCAGCTGGGACAAAGAGGCCCTCGGCCGTGGCCTTCACCTGCCCCCCTTGAGTGCCCGGTGTCCTCTCCCTGCCTGTGCAGTAAATTCAGATTAACAGGGATCTCTGCAAGCACAGCCCAGGGGCAAACATCCAGATTTGCATGTCAGTGTGACGTCAGCAGTGAAAAAGCAACAGGCTGGGTATTAAAAGCGAAAGTACTTCGATACAAATAGTGCAGAGACAAAGGCGGCCCGCCCATGACTACTTCTGAAATGCCTTGTGACCTTAGGACAGCCCCTCGTCCCCACTGGACCTACTCTGCCCGCTGCGGAAAGAGGGGTGCCTGAGCTGGCGCTTGGCCCTCTCGGTTAAGTGTTTACAGCAAGGTGGAAGGAGCAGCCGTTTGAAATCTTGTTTTTCTGTTTCTCGGTGCCTTTTGTTGCCTCCTGCAGCTGAGCACTGACAGCCGTCCTCTGAGAGCCAGATTCCAGAGGAGGCCCAGCTGGGCAGAGCGTGGGGTGGGCCTCAGCCCAGCAGCCTTTCAGGAAGAGCCCTCAGCTCTGTGGCTCAGGAGTGCAAGGGGGAGGGGAGGAGAGCACACGGCTTCACTTCTTCATCTGGGATTAAACTGCTTCCTGTTTTCACTTTTAGGACGAATACCTTTCTCTTGTGGCCAGGCTCATTATCCATTTCCGAGACATTCGTAAGTAAAATTTTACATTTCTGGTTGTGATCGCTGTGAGAGGCTGACCCTGTCATGCGGTGGAGACTTATTTGGCCACAGTGCCTGAGTCAGAATGTCTGTGTAAAAGTGCCTGCTTTCTGGAAAGTTCTTCATTGCTTTGCATTTGATTCCATATTTCTCATCTCCCCAGAGACTCAGCCTGAAAAATGCTGATTTGGGCATAATGGAGATGTTAGCCTCAAAGTGGTTTAAACTGAACTGCTGTTTTTGCTTGTCCATTTAATCATTTTTAAAAGGACTGTTGGCCGTGGTCGGGTGGCTCAGTCGGTTGGAATGTTGTCCGGACACTGAAAGGTTGCGGGTTTGATTTCTGGTCAGGGCACATACCTAGGTTCCGGGTTCAATCCCAAAATCTGGGTGTGTATGGGAAGTGGCTGATCAATCAATCTCAATCTCTCCCTCCCTCCCTCCCGTGAGGTTTAAAAAAAGAAACAATTCTCTAAAAAAGAAAAGGACTGTTGCTTTTATCTCCAGGCAGCTCTTCTTAAATAAGCAGTTTACTCTGGAACAGAAA